CTGTCCCTGTCTCAGAAAGCTTACCATCTGACTTATGGGGATTCTGTAATCAAGCAGCTCCTTCCTTCTGCACCCTTTTACTTTTAAGTAGACAACTACCTTGGAGGGAAACAAGACTGGCTTCTCCTGATAGTTTTCTGCCCAATCCAAGCATTCGGTATCTTCTATAGCATGTCGGAAATTTGGCAGCATTTGTGTTGGGGGAGTTATTTCACTTCTGGGGTTCAGTTCTTTCCCCCACTGTTCCTACTAAGCTGGAGATAAAGGATCAGGATCATTTCTGGTTCCCAGGAGAGAGAATTCTGCACCTCTGGAAGGTTCCAGCCCAATTATTTTCAGACTGGAAAAGGCAGAGTTTTGGAGTCACATTCTGAGTCAAATCTCCAGACTCTCTGCTATAAGAATCACCCACTCTCTATTCAGGTTGAGGTCACTCAGACATTTGGGGTGAGCATTGGCATTTAACCCGCAGTTTGGTCTTAGGCAGGTCACTTTGTCTCTGTGACTCATCTTCTCTTGCCTGCACAGTGGTTTCAATAGCACTGTTGAACATCTTGGGGAAAAAAGAGCTTTCATTTGGTCAGTTCAGCTCAGAATTGTTTGGATGCAAGTTACTGGAGAAGTATGAAGGGGCATTAACATCCTTCCTTTTCTTTTCTTTTTTAAACCAGCTAGGATTATATAGTGATTCTCAGTTACTATAATGGTGAAATATCTGAACAATGGAGAAGAGGAATGTCAGTGCTCTTGAGGCAGGATTTTCTCCTAGAGCTGAGGTTCTGCTTTCTTCAGTATTCAGTGTGTGCTGTGTGTAAACAGCCCGTAGCAGGAGAAACTGTCTTTTCAGGACAGAAGTGTCTCTTTCTCTTGGTTCAGCTGTGTTGGTTGAAAGATAATGGTCAAATTTTCAGTGACGCCGTAAGGTCCCCATAAAAATAGAGTCTGGGGTAAAAGGACAGGGACATAGAGGCTGCCTCAGGCAGAGTCACTTCCTTGGAGGTGGAAGGATCAAATTGGTTTGTTTTCAGGTTTTATGTGTTGGTAAAGAAATATCATTTGACTGTTCAAAATCAGGAAAAAAAGCTTCCTACCCAGAGAGATTTTCTTACCAGGTATTTCCTTTTGAAAAACTCAAAAGGGAAATGAGGAGCATCTTCCTGCTTCAGTGCTGAGTGAGATTACACTTTGGAAAGCAGTTAGTTGGATGAGCAATCTTTGAAACCACATGTTAGTGGAGTGCCACAGGTCTCCCCTCTTGTGCAGTTCCCTTGAATGCTTTGCCCTAGACAGCACAACTCTTTTGCATCATTCCCTCCACCTGTGGATCTCCGAGCACTTTCCAAAGAGGCAGCCACCATAATATCTGTTTATAAATCAGAAAAGTGAAAGATTATATGATTTGCACAACGTCTGCCTGCCTTTCTTTTTCTGCATGCCTTGCAAGGTAATCTCGTGTTGGCATTGTTGACTGTTCAGTCTCATCCACAGGCAGTAAATAAAAGGATAGTATTTTTCTGATACAAGCTTGATGACAAATTCAGGTCTTCAAACTCCTTCTGCCTGCCAGTTTAGACCTCTCCAGAAGCAAATCCTATCCCCACTGAAACTTGCATTTGTTTAATCGAGATCAGCAGTTATTTAAATTGAAAAAGTCACCATGGTCATTAGGGGAAAGTGTCTCTTGCAGACTTCTCTTGCTTTACCTTCTGTGATGCCTTCAGCAAATTTCTGTCTTGAAGACTTGCAGCCATCAAGTGGTACATCAGCCCTGTCAGGCAGGGCTTGTGGATGGCTCTGCAGAACAAAGCCTGCTGAAGGGACTCAGCTAACCCCGGCTTGACTCTTCTTCAGCAGATCTAAGAGCCCTAAATGTCACCGCCTGCCCCTGAGTCTGTTGTCTGGGCAAAAGCTGGGCAACAGCAAGTGCGATAAAAAGCCTCTTTGCGAGGTTGATAATACACTGACTCACATCTCCCTTTGCACTAGCCTGTCCAAAAGGAAAGCAGCTTTGTACAAAAGTGACATTTTTATTATCCTGGCCTCGGCTAACCAAAGATGGTAAATGCCAGTGAAACAGGACCGTGCCTATGACTATAAGAGGCAATTTCATCTCACAGATCTCTTTGCTGGAGGGAACAGTGATTTACAAACTGAGCTCTGTGAGATCCTTGCACATCATTACCATTATCTGGAGAGATGTGCATGTTTGATAGCAGTATGTTATACGACGAAGGAGTTAACCAAATCCTTGCATAGGTACAGTCCTTTGTCATAGTGTCTTGTCATTTGTGCTCAAGTTTCCCAGAGCAGTTAAACTAACCCGGGAATGACAGCAGATTTCCGAGAAGATTCCTGTGCCTAGGGTCTCCCAGCCCATTCCTATCCATAGCACACGTTTTACAGTTGGGGAATTAAGGCAGAGGGAAAAGCAATGATTTACTGAGAATTAGAGGAAAAAATACTGAAATAATTTGGAACAGAAAGCTGTCTCATCTTCAGCCATCCAAACCCATGCTCAAACTGCTAACCAATATTATGCCTTTTAAAGAATCTAACACAACCATTCATGTGCTTTAATTATTTTCAATAACCACGTACTGAGGTTGTGCTTATACTGCAATGGGAGAGTTTGAGATTAAATCTGAGGAGAAGCTGTAATGCCACTGAAGCTG